CCAGCCATGTTGTCCCGCCTTACCGATGTTAAAATCTGGACACCCTACACTATCCTGTAGTCTATTAAGTGTACAATAGCATTATGTCTAAAAAAAAAGTATATAGGCTAATTTTTAAAGACACTGTATTGCTAAAAAGTGTTAATGAACATTTGAGCCTTTAGCCAGTCTCAATCTCTTTGCTAGTGGAGGGTCTTGCCTCGATGTCGATGGCTGCTGACTGGTCAGGATGGTGGCTGCTGAAAGCTGGGGTGGCTATGGCAATTTCTTAAAATAAATTTCCTAAAATGAAGTTTGCTGGCATTGACTCTTCTTTTCATGAAAGATTTCCCTGTAGCATGTGAGGATGTTTGATAGCGTTTTGTTCACAGAACTTATTTCAAACTTAGAGTTAACCCTCTCAAACCCTACTGCTGTTTATCAACTAAGTTTAGGTAGTATTTACAATTATTTGTCGTCATTTCAGCTGTGTTCATAACATCTTCACCAGCAGTAGACTCTCTCTCAAGAAAAACTACTTTCTTTGCTCACCCATAGGAAGTAATCCCTCATTCATTTGAGCTTTATTATGAGATGCAGCAATAATTCAGTCACCTCTTCAAGCTCCACTTCTAATTCTAGTTCTCTTGCTATTTGTACCTCGTCAGCAGTTACTTCCCTCCACTGAAATTTTGAACCCCTAAAGTCATCCATGAGGGTTGGAATCAAATTCTTCCAAACTGCTATTAATGGTGATATTTTGAACTCCTTCCATGAATTGTGAGTGAGCTTTATGACAGCTACAATGACGAATCCTTTCCAAAAGGTTGTCAACTGTTTTTGTCCAGATCCATCCCAGGGGTCACTGTCTATGGCAGCTATAGCCTGATGAAATGTACTTCTTAAATAATAAGACCTTAAAGTTGAAATTACTCTTTGACCCATGGCGTATAGAATGAGTGTGGTATTAATAGGCACACAAAGAGCATTGATCTCATTGTACATCTCCGTCAAAGCTCTTCAGGTAACCAGGTGCAATGTCAATGAGCAGTACTATTTTGAGAGGAATCTTTCTTTCTGAGCAGTAGGTCTCAACATGGGCTTAAATATTTGGTAAACCATGGTAAACAGATGTGCTTTGTTGTTCCATTTATAGAGCACAGGCAGAGTTGATTTAGCGTAATTCTTAACAGCCTGGTACGGTAAATGACCATTGGCTTCAATTTAAGGTCAACAGCTTCATCAGCTTCTAATCAGAGTCAGCCTACCCTTTGGAACTTTGAAGGCAGGCATTGACTTCTCTCTGCCTATGAAAGTCATAGATGGCCTCTTCCTCCATCATAGGCTAATCCATGTACAATGAAAATCTATTGTTTAGAGTAGCCACATTCATCAAAGATCTTAACTAGATCTTCTGGATAACTGGCTACAACTTCTACATCAGCACTTAACTGCTTCACCTTGCACCTTCAGGTTATGGAAAACATTTTTGTTATGGAAAAACCTCACAAACCAACATTTGCCAGCATCCGACTTTTATTCTGCAGCTTCATAGAATTAGAGAGAGTTGGGGTCTTACTCTGGATACTGTGTACTCAGTTTCTTTCCACATTTATTTGCTATCCTGAGCCTCCAACTGAGCTATACATGAATGAATTGGCTGCAGTTAAAGATTGCCTTCTAGAATACAAGTTCCTGAGGGAGGGGCAGAAATCATGTCTCCTTGCCTTTGAAGCCCTCCCCCAACCTGGGTGCACAGTAGGACTGCAGTGCCTGGTTTACAGCAGGAGCTCTGCTTGCCTTTTGGTAGATGAGCCAACTTAGAGATGATGAGCAGTTAATGATTAATATCTGGCCTTTTGTCAAGAATGTGGCTTTGTTTTCCAGAGGTCACTGTTTCAGTCTCTTTCATTCCCTCACTTCAAGTGCTGCCAAGGGGAGGATTTGATAACCAAGAAAATGAAAGCCATCCTGAGCCTGCTGCCTACTCCCTCCCTTTATCCAGTGCTAAGGTCTGAGTCCTTCCAGCACCACTCAAGGGCTACCTCTTCCTCTTCCAATCCTTTGATTTCCCTGATTGTTCTCCACTGGGTGGGAGGAAGCAACGGAAATAGCTTAATGGCTCATAAAGTTATTATGGCTCAATAATAACTTTATGAGCCACATTATCAGAGCAATTTGAATTATACCTATGACTTATGGGCTTGTATATTTAAATAACAAAATATACAGCACTCTTTACTATAAATTCCACACAGCCAGTTGATTTTTACAGAATGGTTTGACTGATGTTTGCCAAACTCTTGTATCAGTATCTAACCTGTGGTTGCAATTGAAGGATGACATGAATGCTGTAAATGAGAACACTTTTGTTTACACTAAATGAGTGTACCCAGAGCATAACAATGACACAGATGACTTCGCTGCAGAATCACACAATAGTTTTTGAAAACTGGAGTTTTTTTCACAACACAATAGCTAAAGCTATGACATGCTTTTAAAAACAGCTTCTTTGAACTGACATATAATAATTGCACACATTTAAAGTGTAAAATCTGATGTCTTGATACATGCACGCACCCATGAAACTATCACTGTCATCAAGATAATGAACATATCTGTCAACTCCAAAAATTTCCTCATATATGCTGGTCTTGGTTTTTTTTGGGGGGGAGGGGGTCCTTTCCATATGAATTTGGTGTGGGTAGTATTCTATCCTAGTGCCTCCTCTTCCTTCCCAGTAGAATACTAATTTTGATAAAGTTTCAACTTTCCCCAACCTGATCTGAAGAAAGGTCACCCCCAATCCCAGGACCAAGTGTAGATCCTAACTAATGTAAGCCAATCAGTGCATGACATTCTCCTGGTGACTGGGGCAGGCAAGTGACTTAACTTGACCAATCATACCATACAAGATCTATATATCACCTATTCCATGCTTAAGAGAGCAGCTTTTTCGCTTTCCTGCAGGATGGAACCAGAGGGCATTTCCTTAATTGTCACTGAAAGCTATCTTGGGACCATAGGAGAGCCAGCCTTCGGATAAGGTCCACACTGAAGAAGTCAGAGTAGAGAGACCAAACCTGAGTGACTGAGGCTAATAATGAGTTCCTGACTGTTCTGCACATGGAGTCTGCCTGTCGTAGGCAGCTTCTAACACAGCCGCCAATGATTCTGGCCTCCTGTTTTTCATGCCTTTGCTAAATCTCCTTCTCTTGAGTGTGAGAAGCACCTGCAATTTGCTTCCAACTAATAGCACAAGGCAAGAGTGGTGAGGTGTTACTTTTATGATTGGGTTGTATAATACTGGGACTTGTGTCCTTGCAAGCACATTCTTTCTATTGCCTTCTTACCCTGCATGCTTTGTTGAAGCAAGTGGCCATGTTGGAGATTTCCATATGGTAAGGCTTTGAAGGAAGCCCCCACCCAACAACAGCCAATAAGGAACTGAGGTGCTCAGTCTAGCATCCCTCAAGCAACTGAATCCTGCCAACAACCACGTGAGTTTGGAAGCAGATCTTTCCTCAGTTGTGTACTTGGATGAGACCTTATCCCTGGCCAACAACTTGAATGCAGCTATATGAGAGACCCTGCAGCAAACATGTACTCCCAACTCAAAGAGACAGTGAAATAATAAATATGTGTTGTTAAAGCACATATTTGCACAAATTTGGGGATACTTTGTTACACAGCAGTAGATAAGTAATATACCACTCTATCTCTGGCTTCAAATTAAATGAGATACTCCATTTTCTTTGTATTCAATTCACTTAGATTCAGGGTTTTGGTCACTCCCAAGAGCATCTTCTTGTGGCATGTCTCATCCCATTAGTGTCTAAGCTGCTCAAGGACAGGACTTCATAACCTTCTAATGCCTCTCTGGTGCCAGTCACTTTGCAGACTCTATAGGACTAAGGACATTGCTGCCCTAATGTTAGTCCATCTTCTGATAGCATAATCCAGGGACAATCCTCAAAATGGCACAGAACTCAGAAATGGGGAAGCCTTTTGGTTTCAAGTCATTTTTATTTAGCAATAATAGTTTATTAAGCCCCCACTGTTTGCAGAGTCCTTTACTGGATATTGATGGGGGAGGGAAGAGAAAATATTAAGAAGAAGATGTATTCTGTGCTTCCAAGGAGCTTGCAACTATGCTAAGGGTAATTTCAGTGTCTAGAAATATGTAACAAGTGCAGGTTAATAGGGCACTTCAGTTGGGAGCATTCAGGAACAGACCTTGGAGTCAGATGAGCAAATGCAGCTGGCTGTCTGGGCGGGAGATGGATTCCCTGAGAAAGATCTTAGAAGCCTCCAGTTTCTGCCCCAATGATGGGTAGGGCTGGCCAAAGGGGAGTGGGACACAGAGACATCAGACAAGAAGCTGCCCCAATAATACAAGTATGGGCTACTTGCAAGGCTTTCTGAGGTGTTTCCCTAGTTCTTTAGCACCCTTTCTGAGATTGCCCACACATCACAACCCAAGATAGGCCAATCAGATTACCCCTCCTGAGACAGTAGGATGCTAGTCAGTCTCTATATAGTTGTGACTAGGGCAGGCAAACTTGAGGGGTGCAAGATGGTCTATCAGTAGAGTGGGCAGGGGAGAAGGCTGGGAGCTTCAGAGGGGTGACGATGAGGGGAGAGAGCTACATTAAAGAAAGCCTGTGTGGCCCTATGAAGAGATCCTGAGTGTGTCTGCTCAGGCCTCATCCCTTCCAAAACCAGGGTAATCCCTGACCACCCCTGGGGATGGTCAAACCACACTTTTGTCACACTCACTTTCCTGCCACTTGGAGTCCCAGAGAAGATGCCAAACCAGATGCCACAGGTGACCAGGCCCTCCAGAGTGCTTCTTTAGCCAGAGTAATCTTCAGAAATTTGAAATTTTCCTTTTAGAAAATCCAGATTTCTAGCATTTTTTAAATTGTAAGGCCTTGTGCGCCCAGGCCCTCATTTCTGCTGGATAGTTTTCAGTAGGAAGAAAGAAGAGGCTGCCCGTTTTCTCAGAGCCTGGGAAAGAGAGACCAGGCCTGAGTGACTGATGCTAAAGAGGAGTTCCTGACTGTTTTGCACTTGGGAGTCTGCCTGTCATAGCTGTTCTAAGACAGCTGCCAATGATTCTGGCCTCCCGTTTTTCCTGCCTTCGTTAAATCTCCTTCCCTTGAGATTTGGAAGTTTCCAGTTCATCCCAACTCTACCCAGCTCGTACAGACATTTTTGTTTCCATCTGACCCTGAGGACACTAATTGATTTTGCAATAATAAAGCTTCCCTCTCTCTCTTTTTCAAGATTTCTCCAAAGTAACCGGGAATGGAGATGTGGATCCTATTGGAGGTCAGATAAAGAAGGAAAACTCGTAAGATGTGTTGTTTCCTGCTTAACTACTTTTTCAAAACAAAAGATCCCAAATTGCATCATTTTATTATATTTCAGGAATTTATTGGTCAAGAATTCAGGCAGGGCTCATCTAGTGATTCTTCTATCTCATGTGACATTGGCATTTAACTAACAGATGGGCTGGCCTGAAGGGTCCAAGATACTTCACTCACATGTCTGGTGCCTTGAATAACTTGTCCAAGGTTCACAGACAGAAGTCCAAAAGAATTGGAGCCCAGTTTGCCTGATTTCACAGTCCTGCCCCCAGCCTATCCCCAGCACCTCTCCCTGCCCTCCTCCACACCCAAGGAGGCTGTCCTTGGATTCCCACGTCCTTTGGCTTCCTGCTGGTTTGCCATTGGGGAGAGCACCTCAGGGGACTTCCGGGAGGGAGAAGAGTCAAAGTAGTTTGTTTTCATGGCCGCCTCCCTGGGGTCTCCATGAGCTGGCTGTGTCCCTGGACTGAAGGTCCCTGCTTCTGTCTCCCGGTAGTCTTTCTACAGGACAGGATTCTTTCCTTCTGGGTCTGGTGGTCACTCTCTCCTCATCCTTTGGGTTGAGGAAGATAACAGATCTGAGGTTTACAGCACCCTCTCTTGTACACCTCTATCTACACATCTATTAAATCCTCTGCAGACTATCCTAATCAGCAGTGCATGTGTTTCCTGTGGGATCCTATGGGCAATGCAAGACAGAGAGAGAGGCTGCAGTCATGCAGGGGCTTCAGTCTCTTGGCAATACCAACAGAAGTCTACCGCAGGGAACCTGTGGCCTTGGGATGACATGTGGCCCCTCAACCAAATCCAAACTTCATAGAACAAATCCCTTTGTTGCCAGGATTTGTTCTGTAAAATGTCAATTTAATCAAAAGGCCACACACAAGAATTCAGAAGGCCACATGTGGCTTCAAGGTTAGAGGTTCCTCGCCCCACTGCTTTTCTCTATCTCGGCTTTCTTCTTGAGTAGAGTTTTGCCACATGGTGATTCAGGTAGCTATTGCCTGCCCCAAGTTTGTACTTTCCCACCGTAACCCAACTTTGGGTGGGGAAAAAGACTGCTAACATTCCCCAACACAGCAAAAAGTCCCAGGGAGGATTTTTATTGGCTCAGCTTGCTCATCCCAGAACCAATTACAGTCACTAGCAAATGTAGAGCACTGATTGGCCAGAACAGAATCATGTGGTCCTCTAAAATGGGGAGGGGGAGTATTGTCTGTCTGAACCCAACAGATCAATGTGGAAGAGGGGAAAGGTGGTGCCTTAAAGGGAAAAAAGCATACAGTTACCAAAAGAAATGAGAGTAGAGGGGAAGGAGCTTTCAGGTCCAAACAATAGCAGATATTTCCTTCCAACAGGAGTCCTGAAATCCTTGACTAGGGAGGAGAGTGAGGGGCATGAGACTTGGGAGTGTAAGGGGGATGTAAGACAAGAGCTAAGGGTAAGCTTAGCCAGATGCACCAGAGGCTGCAACTAAAAGGGGCTGTTCAGAATTCTTGAATCTTGGCCATCTCCTCTATGGTCATTTATCAGCAACAGGGTCCTGGTGGGGCCTCATCTAGTGCCTACCTGAGGAATTCTGGCTTCTCAAAGAAGGCGAGCAGTGAAGGCCTTGGGGGGGCCTCCATGGGACTGTGTGGGGAGCCTCAGGGCTGGTCCCAGGGAACCTACACCTTGAGAAGCTTGTCCGGTGTTTCTCACAAGCTTCCCAGGAAGCTGAAGGGAACTTTTGGGTGGGGGGGGAAGGGAGCATGGAAGAGTGGGTTGCTAACAGTCCAGATCAGCGTAGAAGGGCCCAAAGGAGTTTTCTAGATATAGCAGTTGCATAGATCACTTCCCTGGGGAGGCCTGGGAGTTGCCTGCAGGCTTGTTTTAGGAACAACAAAGGTATAATAATGACTGCTTAAAGGGGGTGTCTTCTTACCAACCCACCTCATTTGTACTCATCACTTTCACAGAAGAGTAAGCTGAGGCTCTGGGAAGAGTCTTGCCCAAGGCCATGCAGCTAAAAGGCCATGGGGTAGGATTTGAACACTGATCTGTCCTCAAAGCCTGTGTTTTCAAAGGGAGCTACAGCCCCACTGATGGGAGTGTTGGAGAAAATGACCCCCACCCAGGGAGCAGACCATGTGGACTCTGGAGGAGAGGAATCATCAATGGGGCATGGTTCTGACCACAAGGGAAACAAGAAGGAATTTGGGCAGAGGGGGATATGCTGTGGCCAGGAGCAGTCATACTGGCCTCCTGGAGGCTGTACTTCCCCCCCACTTTAAAAACAAAATAACTTTTATCAAGACATAATTCACTGACTTAAAGCATAGAGTCCAATGGTTTTCAGTATAGCCACAAGTTGTGCAACCATCACCACAGTCAATTTTAAACCATTTTCATCACACACACCCCCCCCCAAAAAACCCCTACAACCAGTAGCAGTTATTCCTCATTCTCTTTTCTCCTTATAGCCTCTGGCAACCACCAATTTACTTCCTATCTCTATGGATTTGCCTATTCTAGACATTTCATACAAATGGAATGTATTCCTTTGTGACTGGCTTCTTTGACTTGGCACAATGTTTTTGAGGTTCATCCATGTTGTAGCGTGTATCAATATTTCATTCCTGTTTATGAACCAATAATATTCCATTGTATGGATATACCACATTGTGTTTATCCATTCATCAACGGATGGACATCGTATTGTTTCTGCCTTTGGTGTTTATGGATAAGACTGCCATGAACATTCATGTACAAGTTTTTGTATGGACATATGTTTTCATTCATCTTGGGTACGTACCTAGGAGTATGTACATAGTAGCTCAATGTTCTAACTTTTAGAGGTAAAAGCCAGACTGCTTCCCAAAGTGGCTGCACCATTTTACATTCCCACAGGAGGCTGCACATTGACCGGTGCTCACAGGTGGATTCTTTCTTTTTCCTCTCTAACTTCTGACAGCTGATTTGGCAGAAATGTTAGGAAAGATGGGGGAGGAGGGTGTGAGGAAAGAGCAGCAGGGCAGAGGCAAGGAGGGCGAAGAGGCCTAGTGATGCTTTCACAGAGCCCTGGGCATGGTCCTGTCTGGCCTCCCCTTAGTATGTGGCCTCACACAAGTTTACCACAACTCTACAGGGCTCAAGTTCCTTATCTATAAAACGAAGGTGTTAGACCTGGGTGGGGATTTTGCCTCTTGAGGACATCTGGCAACGTCTGGAGGTATTTTTGGTTGTTCTAGAAGGTAGAGGCCATGGCTGCCGTTAGACACCCCACGGTGCAGAACACAGACCCAATAACAAACCATGATGTGGCCCCAAATGTCAATAGTGGCCTGGTAAAGAAATCCTACATTAGACTGAGGTGCCCTGGCAGAATCCAGTCCTGCTCAGTCACTCTGTGAAATGCTCTAGGGGATGGACTGGGCATTTTTGGAGTGCCTGGACGCTTAGAAGAGAGGCCTTCCAGTCTCTCTTGGGCTGCTGTGGATGTTGCCTTTGTTTGAGCTGGCTGGCCTTTTCCCTTTGCCCCGATAAGGTTTGATGGATAAGGTTGGCCTTGGTAGGTAGTGAGCGCATCATCAGAGGAGGCATCCAAGAGGAGGCAGCATAGAAACCTGTTAGGAATGTGGAGGCGGCACCCTGCCTCAGGTCTGGAGTTGCCCTTGAAAGACGTCGAGGCTCCTTCCCGCGGGGGTGGCGGGTGGGTGGGGTGGGGGGGGGAGGGGAGACCAGGCCGTGGCTCCCTGTCGAGGAGCTTCTCGTAAGCTCTGGGCCTCCCCACCTGCCGGCCAGCGGTCGCTGCATGCAGGAGCTGAGGGAGCCTTCCTTCCCACGGCACCTCACGCCAAACTGGAGACTTTTCTCTAAGTTTCCCTCCCGGGAGCCCCGCGGGCCGCCCGCTCCCCAGCCCCAGCCCCAGCCCGCGGAGGCGGCACCCGAGGTTGGGCGCCGCCAGACCCAGCCCTGGGGGCGCGGTCGCCAGGATTTCAGTGTGCCCAGAGGGGCTCCGGGCCGCCGAGAGCCGCCGCCGAATGACTTTTGACAAAAAAAACCCTTGACCACCAAGGCCAGCCTCTTCCTGAAAGTCCCGCTCGCTCCGATACAGGAAGTTGAAGGGAGCGAGAGCCCCAGAGCGCGGCGGCGGCGGCGGTGGCTTCCCCACTCGGCGCGGGGTGGCGGCGGCGCCCGCCCCGGCCCTTCCCGAGGGCCAGCGCCTGGGGCATGCGGGCGCCCGGGACGTCGCGTTTCGCGCGGCGCGGAGCCTGAGACCCTCCCTGCGCCTTTCCGGAGCTGCCGGCGGCATGATCCGACGGGCCGGGGCGCTCGCGCGCGGGGACCCCGCGGGGTAAGTTGGGGCGGTCGCCCCCTCCCTTCCTAGGATCCTGCCTGCTCAGCCCGCGTCCAGCTCACCCCCCTCCACTTACTGGTGCTCGAGAGTCCTCGGAGCTCCGGGAGGGACATCTCTGGCCGTGGTACCTCGGGTGTGTTGGCTGAGACTGACCACCCTTTCCCCACGACGTCGGCCAAGGCCGGACCCGGGTTCTGTGAGGAAAGGGGCGACTCTGGTGACTCTGCAGGACCCGACCACCTGGCTTAACTTTTAAAGCCAGACATTCCTCTTCGGAAAACTAGAGCACGCTTTGGCGGCTGGGCGGACGGGTTGCGAGAGATTGCGTCTCTACCTGTCAGAGGCCGGGCTGCTCGCGTGAACGCAGCCCCCTTACCAGGCTCCTGTCCCGCCTGAACTTTGGATGCAAACACGTGTAGTCCCAACCCCACTGGCCTGTTGCACTAGCCGCTCTTCCTGAGTCCCCCGCGCGCCCTCGGGCTCTGGGGCCCTTCAGGGAGTGGGGTGGGAGACCCTGGTCCCTGCAACTTCCGGCGCCCGCAGACCAACAGTTGACCCACCTGCTAGGACGGAGGGCCCACGGGATCCCTTCCCCCGCCCCTCTGGCTCGGCCGGGTATGGCGACCTTTGGACAGGCCTTTGGCGAGCCTGGTGCTTGGGGAGGGTCCAGGGTGCACGGGCTGCTTAAGGTCTGGAGAGATAAGGCGCAGCGTGGAAGCCAAATAGGTTGGAAACCGTTTTTGGAGAGAGGTCCCTAGCCTTCCCCTCACCGTCCGGGTAATCCCTCACCGCGCCCCATCCCTCTAAATATTTCTGCTGTTTTGGGAGCCAGGCCTGAGGGGATCTTCAGCAGAGAAGATCCTCCCAGCCTCAAAGGGCGTCCAGGGAAGAAGCATTGAGGAGGCTCCAGGGTGAAGGCAGATTCCTGGGAAAGCCTAACCAGAACCTTTCAGGGTGCGAGGGTTGATGAGCACATTTAGGGCAGCCATTCCCAGTCTTTTGGTTTAAAAGTCCTGGGAGTGCTTGGTTGATGGACACCCTGGCCGGACCTGGCCTAGCTATGTGACCTCATCTCCCAGGCACTTGGTTGTCTGCTCTATAAAACAGGAGAGCTGGACCTATCTTGTGCAGTCGGGGATTGGGAATTGAGAGGCAGCCTGAGGTGACTGGCACCCACTCAGCTGGGAGGAAGTTGAAGGGAGTCCTGAAGCTCATCTGCATCTGAAGGTCACCCACTTTCTCCCACCCCAGCTGGGAGATTCTGGATGCTGGCTGCTTTGCCTGGGAAGTGACCTCTTCAAAGACAAATACCATCCTGTGGGAATTCCGGGGAAGCCCTTTCCCCCCAGGGTCAAGTATCTGCCACACCCAAGATTGCAGGGTGGAGCTAGTAAGTAGTTTCTCAGGGAGGAAGGGGAGGTAAGGGGTCTGTGCCCTGATCTTACCAACTTCCCTTTTTCCCCAGGGATGACCTGGCCTGACCCACTTCCTCTTGTCTTTCTTTGTTCCTTACTGGGCCAGTTATTTAATCCTGCTGTGCCTCAGTTTACTTATCCGTGAGTTGGCCTATAGGATAAACCCCTAGTCAGTATTAACTGTTACCATCGTTGTCATCATTTGTTGGCTGTGATCCCTCCATTTGCCAACTGCATAACTTTGGGCAAGTGTTAATTGAGGGCATCTGTTAACTGAGGGCAATAATGAGACTGACTTCATAGAATCTGACTTCATAGAATCAGTTAAGTTCACAGTTAAGCAGCTGCCCATAGGCAGCTTTAAGTTAACACACTAGCTCAGGCCTGCTTAGAACAGGACCTAGTACATCCTACTGCTTTATGAATATTGGTTTGTTGCTAAAACTTTTGATTTATTTTAGAAGACCTTTTGGTTTAGGAGGGTCTCCAAGGGTGGGAAGGATTTTCTGATTGGAGGTGAGGTGAGGGAGAAAGCGTCAAGGATGACTCTGGTGAGCCACGGGGCCAGCACTTCAGGGACAGTCGAATCTGTGCTGAGTCACCTGGTTCACTTAGAATCCACTCAAGCCACTCGCTTTCAGGAGTTGGGAGAGGCCTAGTAAGCAGCCTGCATTGTCTCACCAACGCAGGCAGACCAGTGGCATTTTCATATGTTTGATATACTAAAGATCTGCTTGAGTTTTCATTTGTAAAAGGATTCCACTGTTGGAAAAATGTGGCTATCACTGACCTAATCCAGTCCCCTAATTTAGCAGTGAGGAAACGTAGACACAGAAAGAGGAAGTGCCTTCCCCAGTGTCCTGGGAACTAGAAGTAAAACTCAGGTTTCCTAAGCCTTGGGCCTGTTATAGCATAGGGGGTCCTGCTGAAGCCCTTGAAAGGAGCCCCTCATCCACTCTAGGCTAAGACAGAGGTCTCTTCCAGGGTGGGACCCACCAGAAGCAGGGAAGTGATGGATTCAGCATCTGATACTGCAGCTCCAGCTGTGCTTCCTGATCTGGGCTCCCTTGCCTTCAGGGGCTAATGCTCCCAGCTGGGAGACCCTTCTATGCCCTAACAGGGACTCTAGCCCATGGACAACAGAGGGTTAGATCACCAGCTCAAGCATGCACTCCTAGCCCCCCAAGACCCTAGTACATCCTTTGAGAAGCAACTGGGAGTGCAAGGAGCTGGGCGTACATGGTTTGCTTAGGGTGAGGCAGTCTCAGCACATTCATGCCTAAGGCCCTCTTTCCTATGTCTCCTGCCGCTTGGTGCCTCCCTACCCTGGGCCTGGGTCCCTATTTAGTGATCTCCACAAAAGCAGCAAATGTGAAAAGTGTAAAATGCCCCAGGGCACCTGCATTTCAACCCAGGTAATCCAGAAATCAAAAATGGAAACCCACCAGGAATTGATCTTTGCAGGAAGCAGAGAGAGATGTGATTGTATGAGGGAGGACACCCCAGGCTCATCACTATCCTCTCAGGCCTCCCTTGAGCCCCATTTCTCAGGCAAGAGTCTGACGTACTCTACAGTACTCCCTGCCTAGAGCAGAGAGAAGGAAAGAGGTGACAGATTACCACAAATTCTGTCCCTCTCACCCCCTGGAAGTTTCCACCTGTCATAGGGAGAGCCTCAGATCATGTCCCTGACATGAGGAGCAGATGAGCAGAATTGGGTAGGCAGCAAGGAGGAGAGGAGGGCAGGCTGGGAGGAGGGAAGCCCAGACAAAGGCTTGGAGGTGGGACAGTGTAGGACAGGGCTGGGGCAGGAGAGTGTCCTTTGCAGAACCCAGGAGTAGATGGATTCCTGCTTTCCAGAGTGGCTGTTACCAGATAATAGGGTTTGAGAGAACAGAAGACAAATGTGACTATTACTTCAAACTAGCTGTTTGTTCTGAGAACCAGACAGTTGAACTGTTTTGTGACCCCGGCGATGTCTAAAATATGGATGTTTCCCCCAAATTGGAGCAAAAGATGAAAATCACAACTCTAATAACTTTTCTAATATTGGTCTCCCCCAGTGACCCTGCTGGTGACATGGTTCTTGCTGATGGAGGCCAGCATGTCTCCCCATGGCCTTCAAATTGCCCTCAAGTGCCCCTCAAGTGCCACTCCTATTTAAAAGCCCCTTAAGGAAGCCCTATCCTCCATAGCCCAGCCCAGCACTGCTCTACACTAATGCATAGCTTCACTTTTTCTGTCCCCCTGACATGCAGAACTTCACTGCCTGAAACCTCACGTCTTTGCCTATGAGCTTCCTTCTGGCTGAGATGCTGCCTTTGTGCTCCTTCTGCCCTTTGTAAAGGGTCCTCCAACTCCTCCATGGAGTCTTCCATCCATGCCAGCTCACAGGGATTCCTCCTTTATTCCTCACACCCCTTTTCACTTGAACCACTTCCTTTCCTAACAATTTTAGAGAAGCTGAAACCTCTTTAATAGCATGTCTTCCTAGATTATGAACTTCCAAAGGCAGGGATCAGGTCTTTTAGTTCCATATCTGTGTCCTGCACACAGATGGCAGGACAGTAAATACTTGAGGATGATAATATGCTCAGTGGGATTCTAAAAATTGCTGCACAGATTTCTCTTTTGTGTCTCAAAGCACTTGAACTTCTGGAGGTATTTACAAGATGGCCCAGATCATGGGTGAAGCCCAGGTGAGGAGACCCAGGACTGGGGTGAGGAACCCAACTCCATACTGTAGCAGGTGGTGACCCCTCCTCCAGGACAACACACCTGTCCCTAGTCTGGGAGGAGGAGGCCACCCAGAGAATTGAGCAGAGGCCCTGCTTAGCCTCCCCCCTTCATCTTATCTTCCCTGGCATTGCTCTCAGTACTTCTCAGGGACAGAGGAGGAGGGAAAAGCTACCTCTGCAGCATGAATGGGAACTATGTCCTCAGCCTGAGGAATGGAGATCAGCTGGCTATACAGGCCCTGAAGGAACCTTGGCTTTATCAGTGGGTTCCAAATGCAGGGCTCTGGACCACTGAGAAACTAGGAAAATAATGGTGTTGTTTGAGTACATGTGTGTGTATCAGTCAAGGTTGCCAGATTGTCTTTTCCTGGGCAGAGCTGTCCTTTGCTAATTTTGAGGATACTCAGGGACTAGCAGGTTGCAGGACATCAGTGGGGCTAGAGGATTTCTTTAGGGTCCTGTCCCCGCTAGTGTTTTGGGATTTTTATTCTAGGAATCAAGTCCCCTATTCTCTGTGGACTTTAGTTTCTCCCTCTGAGAAATGAGCTCAATGATCCTTCAGATCTCTGCGTGCTCTGACATTCAGAATGTGGTCAACAGGCAGCAGAAGCTTACATCCTTGAGTAATACTGGAGTTTAGGGGATTGAAATGCCCACTGGAGATGAAGCAGCCCTTCTTCATTCTGATAGCTAGAAGGGCAGCCTATGGAACAATCTAGAACATGGAGGTAGACATGCATGAGAAACAAAAACCCATAAAACCTGACCCAGTGCTTGGAGGAAATGTTTATTTTCATGGTTCTGGGATTATTTTGAAAAGCAAACTAGTCTTAAACGAAGTCCATTCATTTTGGGATGCCTACTCTGGGTCAAGGCCCATGGCTTCCTGGTAGAATTCACTAACTGGACAGTGAGTTACGAAAGTGTCTGTCAGCCATCAGGTAGGTTGGAGTGGTCTCTTGAGCGTAGCTGGATTGGTGAGGTGGAGCCTGCACCAACTATCTTGTGTGGCAGCTGTGGAGACACCCAGGAGATCGTAGGCAGCCTGGGGGTCCCTGGCTTTAGAAGTCATCAGTGAAAACTGCCCAGCAGGGTTGGAGAGGGACAGGTCTGAGGGGCTGTCCTGCCAAGGGGGAAATGAGGCCAGTGCCAGGTTGAAGGAAGGGCTTTCTGTCAGGCTCTGGCCTCCCTGCCCAGGGCTGCCCTGAGGGAGGGAGCCAGCCCTTTCCTGTACAGGTGGAGGCGTCTGTGACACTGTGTGACTTCCTCCTCCAAACATAGTATTGTAGAGTGAAGCCAATCCTTCCACCTGCCAGTGTGGCCTTGAAGGAGAAGAGAGGGCTATGTGGACATGAGGAGCCCTCCTCAGCCTGTATGCCCACAGGGCAGGAGAAG